ACCTATTCCATTAGAACATGGTGTCTGTGCTTTCACATTTGACCTTGAGGTGCATTTCTTTTTTTTTTCAGATGGAGTCTCACTCCGTTGCCCAGGTTGGAGTGCAGGGGGAAGATTTCAGTTCACAGCAACCTCCGCCTCCCAGATTCAAGCAATTCTCCCTGCCTCAGCCTCCCAAGTAGCTGGAATTACAGGCACCCGCCACCATGCTTGGCTAATTTTTGTATTTTTAGTAGAGATGGGGTTTTGCCATGTTGGTCAGGCTGGTCTCGAAACTCCTGACCTCAAGTGATTCACCCACCTCAGCATCCCAAAGTGCTGGGATTACAGGTGTGAGCCACTGTACTTGGCAAGGTGCATTTTTGTACTTCCATTAAACGGGAAAACAGCTGAAATTCTTGGAAATTTACAAATATCACATCAACTAAAGGAGCTCTTTGGTCAGAGACAGGCCCAAAAGTGCCCTAGAGTGTTGATTTTATCTCCTTTGTTGTCCACTGGGGTAACCAACAGACATGAGTAGCTATTGGGTAATTGAAATGTGACTAATTCAAATTGAGATGTGCAGTGAGTGTACAATACACACTGAATTTAAAAACTTCATATGTAAACAATAATGCAAAATATCTCATTAATACTTTATATTGATTTTGTGTTAAGCTGGTAAAATTTGGGTAGATTGAATTAAAATCTATTATTAAAATTAATTTCATTTTAAAAAATGTCACTATTAGAAAATGTAAAAGTAAATATGTGGCTTACATTTGTGGCTCTATTGGAAATTTATGCTATTCCTTAACTCGCTTGCACCAATTTCCATAAATAGCAAAAGAAACATTCTGGCTTTTTTTTTGTTCAAGATACCACTATTCCCACCTCTGGCTTTATCCTCCCCTCCATATAGATATAGATAGATGTTAGATGTAGATATAGATACACACAGATATAGATATACCTCACCAGGAAAAATGTTCTGTAACTTCATATAGATATACATGGTAGATATAGATATACATATAGATATAAATATATCTCACCAAGAAAGATGTCCTGTAACTTCTCTAGTGGTAGTTGGTCTCATGGAGAGCCAATTCTGGGAGCCATTTCTGGAAGACCTCATTAGAGCTCATTCATCCAACCATTTCAACAATTTACGCATATAAAATTGTCTCCATCGAATTACATATTTAGAGTGACTTATATTGTCTGTATTCCAACCCTGACTAACCCCAGAATATATACACATATATACATATATACACATATATACATATATACACATATATGTATATATATACACATATACATATGTATATATACGTAAATACGTATATGCATATATATGTCTACATATGTGCGTATATACATATATATGTACATGTGTATATATGTATATATAGTTTATGTGTATATATGTATATACACACATATGTATATGTATATATGTATATATAGACATATATGTGTATATATGTAGATATACATATATAAGTATACTTATATGTGAGTATGTATATACACACTTCTCTAAAAATATCAGAGACTCCTACAGAGTCTTCTAAACTCACAATGAAGTTAAGGTGTTTCAGAATTATTTCACAGCTTGAGTCTCTAAACCAAGTCTAGCATTTCACTTTTACCAAGAAATGGGTGTATACTTTTAGTTTCTGAAGGCACAATTAAAGGTATATCAAGTAGTTTATAGGAAAGTGAACTCCACACGCATTTATTTGTCATCTGCTTCACTTGAATGTAAGCGTTACAGCTGAGATAGCTATACAAATATTGCAGTATCTCACCTTAATTTTCAGAATGCTCTAATCATAGAAATAAACATATTCAGTTGTTTTTCTTGGAGTCTTTCTACTGCAGACATTCCCACAAGTTATCATACTTCATATGAATGAATACTCTTTTTTATTTTAATGTAATAAATTATATTAATGTTTAATATAATTAACCTTTTATATTAACTTTTCCTATTCTTATATTAAATTCTTGTTTATTCTTTGTTTTCTAAGACCATTTAATAACCTCTTGATGTAGGTTCATTTTGAGAAAAAACTAAACTGATACCCAAGGTGGTCCACAATTTGACTCTATTTCCCTTGTAATATCTCAGATAGCTATATAAGGTGCCCACCTTAGCCAAATCATCACCCACAGCCCACTCTGCAGTGTGCATGACACACCCCTGTTCTTTCTTATGTCATTTAGCCTGCCTACAGCACTCTCACGACCATATCCTTTATCTGGTCCTCCAGGGCTCAAATTCCACTGCCCCTGCCCTACAAACCGAAGGGATCTTTCCCTCCTATGAGCTCTAAGTGTGGTTCCAAATTCTTGAGCACCCTATAAATACATTTCAAATTAGATATCCTCAGCTGAATGTTTTATTTATTTTTCTCTACAACCTCATAAAAATTTTTGCTTTTCTCCAAATTTCTTTATTATTTTTAATATTTACAGATACACAATAGCTGTACATACTTATGGGGGACATGTGATATTTTGATACAAGCATGCAATGTGTAATGATCAAATCAGGGTAACTGGGATAACCATCACCTCAAACATTTACCATTTTTTTAAATGTTGAGACCATTCCAAATCCATTCCTCTAGTTATTTGGAAATACACAGTAAATTACTGCTAATTACATTCATCCTATATACAACATGAATGGAACTGGAGGATATTATGATAAGTGAAATAAGCCAGGCACAGAGACAAATATCACGTGTTCTCACTCATATGCGAGAACTAAAAAAAATGATCCCACAAAGGTAGAGAGTAGAATGGTAGTTACCAGAGGCTGGAAAGGGTAGTGGGAATGGGGGGATAAAGAGAGGTTGGTTACTAGGTACAAAAATACAGTTAGATAGAAGGAATACAATCTAGTGTTCAGTAATGTATAATGTTTAAATATTTCTCCTGGCATTTAGTTACATCCTACTCAATGTTAAAGTTATTCAGGGAATTTTTTTCTACCCACTTGCCATCTTGTATTAAAGAGCAATTTTTTTAAAAAAATAAATTCATTAAAAATTGTAATACACCCTCTCAAATATTATGATATTCAAAGAGCTCTGGTGTGATTCCTTTGTGCCCTTAATTTGTAATTAATGTACAATCAATACTATTTTGTACATACTTTAAAATTTTCCTGCTGGATGTTTCCTAAAATATGACCTCATTCAAGATTTTACTAGTTTAAGGTCTTAAAATTCCCAACAAGATTGGTTTGTTCCTTTTGTATCCCATTCAATAGTTTTTTTTTAAATTTTAAAGCAGTTTAACTTTTTCTTTTAATGTTGCTTCCTTGAGTCAGGCATGTGGCGCAAGCCTGTAATCCCAGAACTTTGGGAGGCTGAGGCAGGTGGATCGCTTTGAGCTCAAGAGTTTGAGACCAGCCAGGCCAACATAATGAAAACCCATTCCTAAAAAAAAAAAAAAAAAAAAAAAAAAAAAAACCAGAAAATTTTTGCTCCCTCACCAATGGGATGCTACAAGATTATTTTTTATTGCGATCAAATAATTACAAAGGACCAGACTTATCTAAGACCTATATCTGCCGTCAAACATCCCACACAGAATGAAAGGCAAAGCTTTTCTTGGAGAAGCAGAGTAGTCTTGGGCATGTGAATCACCTTTGCATTAAATCCACCTATGTATATTTCCCTTTCATTACAGTCTTAAAATGTTTATTTGCTTTCCTCTATACTATTTCGTATAGTGTTAGAAGCTTGTCAGGCAAAGAGCCTGTTTAACTAATTGTCCACTGGGAAACATTTATCTAGAAACTTCTATGTAACCAAATGAAAAGACTCCCTTTGAAATAAATGGGGAAGGCAGAAATGGCAACATTGTCCATTCTGCCTCCTATGTTACAAGCCAGAGCAAACAAATTAGTTTGCTTTTAATAAACCATTTTTATATTCATCAATTATAATAAATATAATTTAAATATCAATGAAACTGTACTTCTGTTTTCTACACTAAACTCATGGTTAAAAAAATTAATATCTGCTGGGCATGGTGGCTCATGCCTATAATCCCAGTACTTTGGGAGGCGAAGGCAGGTGGACCTCTGGAGCCCAGGAGTCTGAGACCAACCTAGGCAATACAGCAAGACCCCATCTATGCAAAAAACACAAAAATTTGCCGGGTGAGGTGGGACATGCCTGTAGACCCAGCTATTCAGGAGGCTGAGGTGGGAGGATCAATTGAGCCCAGGAAGAAGAGGTTGCAGTGAGCTGAGTCTGTACCACTGCACTCCAGTCTGGGTGACTGAGCTAGACTCTGTCTCAAAAAAAGAAAAAAAGTAATATCTATCATATCATTGGCTAACAAAATTTACTCCTTTGTCATGTTAATAATATTTATTGCATTTATTTTCATCTCAAACATTTAATATTATATGGGTTAATGGTGCTTGCTAATTATACTACTTATAGCATTGTCTCTGATTGTCTCTGTAGGAATTACATTGAACATGTGTCAACTCAACATTTGAGTAAAATTCTTTCAACAAATTATCAAAAGTTATTTTAGGTTAAAAGGACATATGGACACATTCAATTATCTACTCTGTTTCAATATCAAATTGGCTTGCTCATGGGTCCATGAAGAAGGTGGCAAATATCATAACCACAAAAATGTCTAATTAAAATTGAATAACCCTGTCCTCAGTTTACTTATGTTTTATTGGAAGTGAATCAATGTTTGCTTAGGATTAAATTCTGAAGCAGACGCAAAGAGGAAGCTGACTAAACAGAGAAGGTGGGAACTGACAAACAGACCAAAGCTTGGAGAAAATGTGGAAGACATTTTTATGAGTAAAGGCTTGAGAAATATTTTTTTAAGTTTAAAAAGATCTTATATTTTCTTTATGAAAGTGATAAATTACTAGGTGTTTATGCTATGTCTTTTGCATCTTCTTTCTTCCTTTTCACCTTTCACCATGCAAAAATACCAAACACACACAGATTAGAATGTACCTGTTGGAAGAGGCACTGCCAGTTGTTCTTGCATGGATTCACGGAGTGATAGACAATTTTCTGTAAGCACAATGTCATCAAGTGCAATGTCGCCACGCTGACCTTTCCCAACTCTCCCTTCAAATTTGAGTTGGAAGTCTTCATCACCAAACAGTGACAGTTCTTCCCTCTGCCAAAAATTGCCTTGTTCTACAGTGAGGTTAAGTAGAACCTTCGTTTGGTTTGTGACTGACACCTGCATTAAGGTGAGTGCCCCAATGCCATTTCCATACATGTGATAATGAAAAATAATCTGTAATCAAGAATAGTAATATACATATGATATGATTAGTATAATCAATATATTATTTTCAATTCTATCCCATTGCCCTCTTCTTTATTAACACATTTCTGGAGGAAAATTACACCTATTTATTCTCTTGCTCTGTCTACACTTTAACACTGAGTGAAGTCAGACCAGCCTTGAATCATATGTTGCAATGTATGAGAGACAGCAGAGGAAGAATCAAATATAAATTTAGTAGGAATAAAAGGGCTGAGTTTACGTTCTTTCTGTGACTTCTAAAAGCAAGATTCCTTCATAAACTCGTAGAGCTCATTGTCAAAGGAATACAAGATCATTAAACTGCAATGCATTATATAAAAAGACTTTTCATGATTAAGAAGTAACAGGAACAAAAGAAGATTATTTTTAATCTCATGAAACTTATTTTCTTTTCTTCTTTTGCTTATTCCACTGTCATTTTTGTACTTGAAACACTTTCTCAGTTCTGTAAGATTCTCTGGGCTTCATTTAAATACAGCAAAACCCCAGAACAGTAATTATCCAAATTTTACTTAAAATGCTACCAATGGACTTTTGCAGAGCAGCCTGGGGAGCTCTTCTCTGAGTAAAAATTAATAGAAAGTATTTTCAGGGATTAATATTTCAATGTTGCAAAGATGAAATTTACCAGATTTTGAGCGATTGTTACACAGTGAAAAAAGTCAGGAAAAATTCTGGGAAAAGAACAGGACAGCTTAGGAGCAGTAGGAATTCAAAGCCTTTAAAGCTTTTGCCTTGTCATTTGTGTGAATGAGGGAAAACAGTGACAAAAGTGCTCTACACACAGGAAAAAGACATGTTTGAAACACTAACAGTCATACAAATCATACTCTACAAGAAGAAAAATGAACACCATTAAATCACATATGCAGTGCATTAATCCAAAAAGGATCAACCAAGAATGGGTGAGCCATGCAGTGACTCTACCCATCTCCCAACTGATGAAATCTTTAAATATTATTCTATGACCCCAAAATACTTGTTCTATGGAACTAACTTTCCCACCATGAGCTGTATGATCATTATAGATTGTCCTGGTACTGGTGAAATTTGGGTACCATGACTCATTTGAGTGAGAAATAAAGTGGCCAGGGGCCAACCTCTCAGACAGCATCCCAGGGCCACCTGTCCGGCACACTTTTGCAAGCACCCCTTGCGGCTATAAAGAGGGTCTTCTGCTTTTGTGTTTGTCTCATTTGTGCAACAAATATGAGGCCTATGTTTTATGTCTCAGTAAATACGTCTGTATCTTCTTCTGGTCATTTGCTGAATGATGCCATCAGTTTAACAGATGCACCAATAACCCTATTTCCAGGGAGAACACCTGATGACAACAAAGCCTAACACAGGGTAGTGAGAGTGAATAAAAATCTTCTAAGCATTGTTAGGCCCGGTGGCTCACACCTGTAATCTCTGCACTTTGGGAGCCCAAGGCAGGCGGATCACCTGAGGTCAGGAGTTCGAGACCAGCCCGGCCAACTTGGTGAAACCCTGTCTCTACTAAAAATACAACAACAACAACAATAATAACAACAATAACAACAACAAAATAGCTAGGCTTGGTGGACTGTGCCTGCAGTCCCAGCTACTCAGGAGGTTGAGGCAGGAGAATTGCTTGAACCTGGGAGGCAGAGGTTGCAGTGAGCAGAGATCACACCACTGCACTCCAGTCCAGGCAACAAAGTGAGGCTCCATTTCAAAAAGAAAAAAAAACCATTAAGGTCTGATCTATTCTCTTATCACCCTCTATATGCATCCTTCCTACACACTAACCCCCACAAAGAAAAAAAAATTGATTATCTCTGCTTGAAAGGTATTCCACAAGGTGAAGGGGCAGAGGTGATTCTCATAAAAATCTGGGAGATCAATCTGCTTACCTGATGAATATATTTTTAATATGGGAGACCCAATATTTCCCAGCACAATCTTTCCTTACATATTCTTATTCAATCTATATCATAAATATTCATAAAATGAACCATTCATCATTAATTTTTTGACATTTCTTCCAGGCATACTTCATTATTCTCACACAGATGTTTAAAACATTGGGGACTCTTGTTCTGGGACAAGGGGAATATAGCAATGGATGAAATCTTAGTTACTACAGTATGAAAAAATATTCACCGGACATTTTCAGAAGTGTCTCAATAGAAAAGCTTAGATGTCAACCTGGAATTTTCATATTTTGTATTTAATATTTAGTTAGGTTTATAAGACTAAAACTAATTTGTGATTTTCAAAATATCTATAGATGTATAAAGCTAAATTTATAGATGTATAGCCAACATACAGAAAATCTGGTATGCTTGGGTTTTATTCCTGAGAAAGTACCAAGTAATCTGGAAGATAGCAAAAACAGATAAAAACTATACTTGATAAAAACTCAATTTTTGCCAAAATAGTTTTGTATGATTTACTTTCATTCTAGACTGCTGACCAAGTTCTATCACTAAAACTCTCATCTGATCATGTCACTTCCCTTGCAGAAAATCTTCACTGTCTGTGTGATAGATGAAATTGCTCTATGAGAGTTAAACTATAAAATCAAGTCACGATGAGACAGAAAAACTTTTAAGACAAAGTAAAAGTTTAACATGTATTAATACTATGGCAGTGCTAAGGTGTTGAAGGCTGTTTGATATGTCTCTCTCCCACGGTTAGGGCTCTGTCAGTTGTGGACACAGGCACGGAGAAGTGTAAGTTGGACCGGGCAGAGTGGCTCACGCCTGTAATCCCAATACTTTGGGAGGTCGAGGTGGGCAGATCACCTGAGGTCAGGAGTTCGAGACCAGCCTGGGCAACATGGTGAAAACCCTGTCTCTACTAAAAATACAAAAATTAGCTGGGATGATGGCGCAAGCCTGTAATCCCAGCTCCTTAGGCGACTGAGGCAGGAGAACCACTTGAACCTGGGAGGTGGATGTTGCAGTGAGCTGAGATCACGCCACTGCCCTCCAGTCTGGGCAACAGAGTAAGACTCTGTCAAAGGGCAAGGGAAGAGAAAGGGAAGAAAGTTTCTGGATGTAATTTGTTTGCTTTTCAGAGTTCAAACATTGGGGAACACTCTAGTCAAAATTAGACTAGAAATTAGAGACTGCATTTCTTATTGTAAATATATTTATTTCTGTATCCATCTCTTGTAAGCAAGAGATCTCTGAGCACTTGTGATCTCTAAACACTTAATTTGTACTATATGTAAAGCTAAATTCAGTTCTTAGCCTAGCTGACTCAAGTCTTTTATGGAATATAAACAAACAAGCAAACAATAAAAAAGGAAGTGGAAAACCCCGTAAATACGTAGTTATCGAATGAGGCTGCTGCTTTTCCCAAAGAGCCATACAACCTTATTTATACTTTTAATTATCCACAGATGTTTTTGTGAAATTTTCACAGGCTAATAACCAAGTCATGTTTTCTTCCTGCCTATAGAAATTATTCTACTTGTTTTAGGAGTAAGTTCAGGGTCCTTTTTGTTTTGTTTTTCATGAAGAATTACTCAACAATTTTTGTGGTTCTAACTATCTCTAGTATTCATTCTTGTAGATATTTAATTATATACTGACTGTTGTTTAATTCTGTTTCTGTTTGTAAAATTTCCATAGTTTTAATAAGCACTAAACTTCTTAACAGAAAGCAACTGGTATCTTACTTCTGTATTATACATGGCTGTGAATAACAACCATGGAATTTTCCAATGGTTTCCCAAACTTCAATATCCATGGAATTTATCCATAGGAGAAATTGTTCTAACAGTTATAGCAATCCTTCCCTTTCCTTCTGAACTTCGCTTTTTCCCTCCCTCACATATCCAAAGTTGAATAAATTCAAACTCATCTTTTCTCTGGCCCCCGCCACTCTATTTTCTGTATGTCAATTTATCAACAGTTTCTCACAATAATTCTGTGTTTGTTTGGTTGGTTGGTTTGATTTTCCCCATACCTTGCAGTTTTTGCTTCTCTTACTTATAACTGGACTTGAAATTCTGGCAGCTCTCATGGGCTGCTGAGGGAACAAACTCTTTATAAAGATGTAATGACCAGATGAATTTCCCAAAGTGTGATCTGCCGCTGGCTCTGTGTCTGCTGCAGGGATGCTGCTAGCTTTCAGATTCCAGTCAAAGTCCTCATCTTTCTCCTGCTCCCAGGAACAAAGATCAAATTCGAAATCACAGCGCCCACTGGAGGTACCTGGAAAATATTTCCAAATATATGTTACGGAAAATGGAAATGTACTGACTTTAAAACATGCAATTCAAAATTGCAGTGATCTTGCTGTATCATGTAATATTTGAAACCTTATAATGCTATCCTGATAGCAAGATATAAAGAGACCAATTTGGTTTGCTATACACACAGCTACTTCCCTGGCTTCTGTAAGTTCATTTCTCTACAAATCTGGTCCCAGTTTCAAAGTTGATAAACTATTTTAGTATTACACACATTTCCTTCTCTAAATATCTATTTGGTCCATGTAATTTATTTATTCTGTCTTCTCATCTATGCTTCTCAGGTCTTGGTAAGAAATTTATGAAGTTTATTATTCTGCAATACATTTTAGCTTGGGTAATGCTGCCCCGAGCAAAAGTTATCATTAATCATAGTAGTTATTTTATTTTAGAACAGTTCTTTATTTTAGAGAAAATTGTGAAACAGAAAAGTGAGGTAAAAAGGTGTGATAATTTGAATAAGCTTATTGTAATAAGTTGCAGAAATTAAATATGTTAAGTTGCATCAAATACCAAACTATTGCATCAAATACCAAACTATTTCCCAGGTATTTTTTGAAGTATTTTATTACTGTCATTGCTTAAGTTGCTTTATTTTCCCATTTCCAAGATAGTAGAAATTATACAGGAATCTTTTTATCATGCTGCAAGTAAATTATCAGCTGAAAATGGTAGTGAAGATGTTATAAAACTGAGCATTGTGGTATGAAGGTGTCATACCTTATACATTTATATATTTAGGACTTTTGATACTTTTCATTTTTAAGTCAATATTCATGATTCTGCATAAAACCAATGAGGGAGGCCGGGCATGGTGGCCCACACCTGTAATCCTAGCACATTGAGGCTGAGGCAGGTAGATCACCTGAGGTCAGGAGTTCAAGACCAGCCTGGCCAACATGGTGAAATCCCATTTCTACTAAACATACAAAATTAGCTAGGCGTGGTGGCGTGCACTTGTGGTCCCAGCTGCTCAGGAGGCTGAGGCAGAAGAATCACTTGAACCTGGGAGGTAGAGGTTGCAGTGAGCCGAGATCGTGCCACTGCACTCCAGCCTGGGTGACAGAGCAAGACTCCATCTCAAAACAAAAACAAAAACAAAAAACAAAAAACGAGTGAGTAATTTGATCATAAGTAACAAAATGTACTGTTTAGAATTCTTTAATGACAATAATTCTTTATGAAGTTCTTTTTGAAGATTACAACTGCAATAAAGATCTGTAAAATCGTAAGTGAGATAAGTGTCCAAATATTAAAAATACTTGAAAAGAACCTATGGTAGCATGTTGATATATCTTCAGATAAATGTTTCTCTCTTAAATAAACCTCATTTAAACAATTGCTCAAAATTTTTAAGGCAAATGAGGGTAAGAATGACTCTGTCATCAAAACATTCAGGGACTTGCTCTCCAATGCACAAGCCAAAGAAAGGCAGGTAACTCCACAGAAGCTATGGTAATTCCTGGACAAATCATCCACTCTATTTTATTACACATGACTCTTTAAGAATGTCCAAGTTCTGTTGCATGTGGCATCAAAATAGTGAGGTTTTTGTTTGTTTGTTTCTGTATGGATACATTCTTACAGTTACCCCAAGTCAGATAAAATTGTCTCAATGTGCAAAACAAACCCTAAACTCTTTGTAGTTTATAAGGTGGAGAATATGAAAACATATGAGGCTGGGTGGAGTGGTTCACCCCTGTAATCACAACATTTTAGGAGGCCAAGGTGAGAGGATCACATGAGGCCAGTTCAAGACCATCCTGGCCAACAAAGTGAGACTCTGTCTCTACAAATAGTTAAATTTTAAGAATTAAAAATTTAAAAAGAAAACATACAAGTTTTACCATTGTTTCTATGCCATTTGGGGATATATAAGAAAATGCTAAAATAAAATATAAGCTAACTTTATTACACCTCTGAGTAAGGAACTTACACAATAAAGAAAAAGGGCTTAAAATAAGCATTTTCAGCTTTTGAAAGAACTAAAGAGATTAAGAAAACATCAAGACTGATAATTTGTTTTTGTAAATTGTTTACCAGTCAAGATAATACACATTTGTAATGTCTTCAAGGATAGAGATAAATTTTCTGTCATAATTTATGTCATCAAATCAACAGAATGCCTTTTTAAAATCTAACAGCTAATTCAGTTTTCAAATGTCATTTGAAATATATTTTGTAATTTATTTTTTTCCTAGAATAGACTGTAATACTTATAACCTATTGTAGTGTAGAATACTGAAGTTCTAAGTATCCTTTCAAAGGACTGGGGAGTAGATATCAGGAAAATAATAATGAACTCCAACGCAGCATCTAGTTTAAGAATATGAACCGCTGTCTTGGTTCAGAACTATAAAATGAAACAAATAATTCAGTTGCCTTGTGTTGGAAAATTTAGCAGCCTCTGAGAAACAGATTAGCATATAGAGCAGCATCTGGAGAGGCCATTCATATAAGAAAATAATGTGTGCTGCTGAAAAACAGATTTGATATTTTTATTCATGTAAACACTGTTACATGGATCTTTACAATGTAAATCATATTTTTCTTTTGATCTTTTCCCTCGTTTTGAAGTTATATTTTCTTGGAAAGTTTATTTCTAATATACCAGTGGGGAAAATAAAATAAGTAAAAATAAGTTGTTTGCATTTCACATCACTATGATGAGGGGGAACAACTTATAATTTCATATCCTATTATTTCCCATAGGTACCAGGTAAAAAAACATAACATAGTCTTGAGAACTGATGCCAATTCCTGGCATTTCTGGTGCAGTTAATGCCAATATCAGACAGCTGTGCCATCAGGAAGACAATGAACACCTTTGTCTACAGCTGTGTCATCAATCAAACTAGTTTCTACCTTTCTAAATCCTATAATTTGTCCATTGATCAATATCACTATAGGTATAAAATATGTCTTATTTGAAAAGGCATATTTGGAAGGAACATAACATAATTCCTTTTAAGGTCCTACCATCAAACTCAAAAAATTAAAATCTTACCATTATATTCATGTATTCATTCAATATAAAATTACTGAGCATATTCTATAAATAAAGCACATTGAGGAAAATAGGAAAAGAGGGGTACTGGGTATGAAATATAATGTGTTCCAGGTCCTGAAACATTCTCTTTATATCTGTCATTTCATTTAATCCTCACTTTGTCTCTATATAATAGTTATTATTCTTATTTTGGTTGATGAGAAAGTTGAAGTTCAGAATTAAACTTTGCTTTGCATTCCACTGTAAGTAGCAGAGCTGAAGGAGGATACAACACACAGCTCCTTTAGTACTACTCCCTTTGATAATGTGGAATGTAGCAGTTAGGGGTGAGAGTTAAAATAGAACAAATTTACAAATACAATGGGATAAGAAAGTACATGTATGTATAGAAAACATTCTCTAAGAGACTCCTGCCTCTGTGAGCCGGTAGCAACATGAAGACAGCAGTCATTCAATTCAGTGTGATTATTCTTGAGGTATTGTGGCATGATGTACTTCATCGCTTCTTTAACTGTTCTTCTGAATATGAATGTCCTACAGGTGTCAATTTGTCATTCAAAGGAAGAAGATTCTGCATTCAAATGAATGGGATCAATTCTATAAATTTTGTCTTTGAAAGATTTTAAAAGATGCTAGTATATTAAAGGCTCTGAGAATTCCCACAATACGCAGACTATTTCTTTAGGCAAGAGAGGATATTGCCAATGTATTTGACTAAGGAACATTTTTACCTTTGGCAGAACTATTAACATATTGTAGAATAGTATGCTTATGATACGGGACAAGACTTTCAAATCCTGATATTAAGACAAACAAGCAAAAGGCATAATTAGAGAAGCTGGGTATTAGTTTCCTACGGCTGCATACGAAAATATCACAAACTGGGTGGCTTAAATCAACAGAAATTTTTTGTCTGACTCCATTTTCAGGCTGGAAGTCTGAAATGAAGGTGTTGGCAGCATCATGCTCTCTCTGATGGCTACAGAGGAGGCCTTTCTTTCCTTGTCTCTTCATAGCTGCTGGTAGCTATGGGTCATCTTAGTGTTCCTTGGCTTGTAGATGAATCACATCAATCACCTGTCATTCTCCCTGTCTGTTTTCACATCATCTTCTCTCTGTGTCCAATTTTCCCTCTTCTTATAAGGACACCAGTCATTGAATTAGGAGCCACCTTTATCCAGCAGGACTGTATTTTAACTAGATGACATCTGCAAAAGTCCTATTTCCAAATAAGGTCGCATTCTGAGATTCCAGGTGACCATGAGTTTAAAATTCCAGGTGACCAGGTGTAACTAAATTTTCAGTGGACATTATACAACCCAGTTACTTAAATGTTTACTTTTTCAAAGGTAAATCTCTTGGGCTTTTGTGCTATGTAATCATATCATTCAAAAATAATTATAATTTGGCTATCCTTTGTTTCATTTCATGTCTTAAATATTGGCCAGGACCACAAAGATAATATTAAACAGTAATACTAATAGTAGATATTTTGACATGTTCTTGATTTTAATGTAAGTATTTTCACTCTTTCCTACATTAATTTGATAGAACACCTTTAATGTCTTAAAAATAATCATACGCATGCTCTGCATAGCATAAGAAATGGCTGCTTAATTTAAACAATAATTTTCAGCATCTATCAGCTTGCTATTATTTTCTTCAGTAATGTGGGTACATTGACATATTATGACATCAAAATACACTTAAAATGTTATCAGATCTTCATCTCAAATTGCATGATATATTACTATGTATATACTACATGTATTATGATGAATTTAGTTTGCTAGCATTTTAAGCTTTTCTGCATGTATATTCACAGGGCGTTTGAATATCACTCGTCTGATTTTTGGAGGCTTCATAATCAGTGATATATTAGCTTAATAAAATAAATTCTACCTTTTCATAAGGTTGAAATAGTTTCTTTGGGCATTATTAGTTCATTAAAA